ACATTTTAAATTAAAACATTCTTATGGTACACTTATATGTAACAGATGTCGAAGTGATTTAGGTCCGTTTATCAATAATGAAAAACAAGAATTGCATGAAGCACGGTTTAAATGGATATTAGATATAGAGATGAGTGACGAATCAGATAATGAAAATTCTGATGCTGGTTCAAATTTTATTCTATCACAAAGTTCTACTGGAAGCGACCAGCCTGATATTAAAAAACAACAACGTATGGCATTAAACAAATTTCTTGAACTTTGTAATATCAGAAAACAAGTTCGAGTTACAAAATCTTACATTAATCTAACTGAACAATCAAAACGAAATTTTTTATCAACAACAAGAATAATAACTAAATTAATAGTAGGATTTGTAGCTCTCAATGATACCAATATTGTTATTAATGAATTGCTTAATATTGATGATAATAAACGCAACATCATATTACATGATAAATTTTTATCCGTTATGACTGGTATTGCTGAAACATATAATAATGCAACAGAGTGGTCTACACGTCGACAAATATTATCAATCGTAATATATCGCAAAATAGTATCAATCGTCAATTTGGATTGGGCGATGAAGTGAGTAGACAACATTATTTGTTGATTGTATCACCATGCTTAATACTGTTCACTTATGCATTTCTAGATGGTTACCGGCCAAATATCGTGAACCACAATCTGACTTTTTTGGTAAATGTGGAATTAACTAGCATATTAGTGTTGTTACAAGAAAACAAAATATCGAAGAAAGCAAAGAGGAAGAAAATGAACTTGATGATCAAAGTAATAATGAATCAAACGTTTCGCATCAATTTGAAAATACGATTTTTGTACATGTGTTCGATCATTGTACACAAGATAGCGAAACAGTTACTGCAATTATACAAGATATATTGAAAAGAACTAAATCAAATGATCCGCAAATCAAAGAAGGCTATATCAGATCGGACAATGCTGGTTGCTACCACTACGCTCAGACACTAATATCATTATCACAGATATCAAAAGCAACAGGCATTACAATAAAACGGATAAATTTTTCGGATCCACCAGGAGGAAAAGGTAATGAATTGATCATGTTGATCATACCAATGCGAGTTAATGTTTTCTCACTAATTTTTTTCTCATTTAGGTGCGTGTGATCGTTTTGCTGCGGTCATTAAATCTCATATCAGAAGATATTTGAACGAAAAATATAATATAACAAATGCTGAAGAATTTGTTTATGCATGTCGTTCATTTGGTGGGGGTAAATGATGTGCAAGTAATTGAATCTCGCCTTATAGTCACAAAAGAAAAGAATAAATACAAATTCTCAGGTATAACTACATTGAATAATTTTGAATTTGAGCCATCTGGTGTATGAGTACATCGAACTTGGCAAATAGGTGATGGAAAGTTAATACCATGGAAAGATTTAATTCAACAAGCTCCAATAATTAGGCCAACTGATTGTGTTAAAGAACCCACTAGTATTCAATGGTCACATACAACACGAACAACCACACAACCAAAATCTGATAAATCAACAGAACAAAAGGATGAAGATACAGTCAAAGACGCTGATGACCCACATACGGCTTTATATGACTGTATTGAAGAGGGATGTGTACAAAAGTTCTTGAAATACGGTAATTTTGTTCGTCATCTATTGGCCGAAAAACACCATCGTGTAATAGAAAAATATAGTTTAGCTGATACAGCCATGAAAACATATCAGTCAAAATTACAAAAAGTTGATGATCGTCAAATGGTTTCCATTCTTTCGAAAATGTCTACATTCGACAAAAGTCAATATCAACATATACCTAAATTGGATCAAGGTTGGGCATTGCCAAAACCACAAATAACTACAAAATTTACTGATAAACAGAAACAATGTCTCACAAATAAATTCAATGATGGTATTGCGCGTGGTATAAGATGGAAACCAGAAGCTGTCGCACTTGAAATTCAACAATCCCAAACAAATGATGGCAAATTCATGTTTACTGTTGAAGAACTTATGAAACCAACACAAATCCGATCATTTTTTTGACGATTAAAGTGGTCACGGCAGATGACAAAAGATACTAAACCAAGTGAACCTGAAAGTGATACTGATGATGAGGAAGAAGCGTATAAAGATGACATGACCGATCAAGAAAATTTGCGAAAAGATGTGGTTAAAGAAATATTAAAAACAAAACCAACACGTCCATTATCAGAAGCGGATCAAACAGAATCATCCCAAAAACACAGAAAAAATAAATAAAACAGCAGACATAATGTGCAACCTTGCAACTGTTGAATAGTTAGGAGGCATGAAATCTTTCATATAGGATTGGGATTATGGAGCCCACTCTCTTGTTTCTTATATATTATAATTTGGATATCACTACACCTTTTCTAAAAAATTCCTTTTACACTTTTTTTGAAAAATGCTTTTTCATGCGCTTAGACTATCTTGAGTTATTTATAGCAAATGCAGCACACCATTGGTAATACCTAAAACCATAATTAGAAACTTGGGATTAGACAATTTTGCAGAGAAAAGTCACCTGGGAGTGTCAACCTCGAGCTTGTCTAAATTTCTCTGTACATAATGGATTTTATGTATTTAGACAAATAGTTTTGCATTTTTGGCTACATACTAGAGGTTTTTCACAAAGATTTTATGCTCATTTTATAGAGAATTTTCAGCTCTACAACATAGAGAAATTTATTTTGTATGACCATTTAAAGCAAATCTTTCTGAGTACTTTATGTACAAAAATCATGCTTTTTAAATGACGGCTTTTAAGGGTAGTGAGATAAAGTATTTTGTATTTTTAAGCATGTGTTGCAATGTTTTTTTCGAATTTTGTATGCTCATTTTATCGAGAATTTTCAGCTCTTCAAAAGGACAAAACTTATTTTCTGGCCCCATGCAAAAGAAAACCGTTATGATAAATTTTATGTGAAAAAGCCATGTTCTTTAAATAAGGACTTTTGAGAGTAATTTGGACATACTGCTTCAACGTTGCATCGATAAATCTGCTCTAATATATGATTTTGTTCAGTTTTTAATTCTCTTTCGAATGAATTAAATCAGAGAACTGCTTTCTCTGATCAGAGGAACTGCTGAATCTGAATGTGTATAGTAATGCCAAAAAGAATTCCAGTTCAGGTTTGCATTACGTGCATCTTAATTAAATGTTTATATAGTTAGGGTGACTCATTTTGTGAACCATTCTACTTTGGTGTGTTAGGGGCTGAAGCCGTCATTTGCATCTCAGCAGGTTCGCTGAAGTCCAGCTTGTGACTTTTTTAAATTTTGTATTGTTGCTGAGAAAATTCGTCCGTTTTTAAATAAGGGCGAAAAAGTCTGAATTCTACTCATAATTCTCAATGTTCTCGATGTATTATGTTGGGAATCAGGATCGTTCTTTGGCATCGCCAAAGATTAGTGTGCACCGGTGCCCGAGCGATGCTATAACCACTTTAAGTTACACTTAAGTGACACTTAGGAACTTAAACACAAGTTCTAACAGTCTACCGAAACGTGAATTTTACAAAAATTTGGGTTTTCAAGCCGGTTTCAACAATTAAAAAGTTCACTTTTCACCCAATAAACATCGGAACGAGTTGAAACCTTCAGAACATAAAGTATTTAAGCTATTGTATATCTTATTTATAGGAGATCTTAAAAAAGGTTAGAAAACCCTAAGATTTTCCAAAAGGGTTTCTGCAAAACCCATTAACGCAAATACGGCTTTTCGAGTTTTTCGACCTTATAATCACGTTTAGCGGAGAAAATCGACCATATCCTAAAGGACTGAACTCGTCTCAGTGTTTGTTGAGTGCAAAATGAACTTTTCAATAGCTGAAACCAGCTTGAAAACCCAAATTTTTGTAAAACTCACGTTTCGGTAGACTGTTAGAACTTGTCGAAAAATAAATATTGCCACAAGACTCAACATGATCGATTACCTAGTCACCGGGTGCCAGTTCTTGGGACTCGCAAGAAATCCGACGCAACATCCGAACCGCGGAAAACCAAGGTCTTGCTTGACTCTCATTTTGAAGAGGATACCCTGGGTTATCATGGCATGGAAGAAAATCAACACATTCCTATTCAAAATTTTTACACACGGCCTGGTTTTTCAAAGATCTCCTCGCTGTTTCTCTTTGGTTTTCAGTAAAAGCCGTTTTTCTCAGCAAGGAAAACGAATTTTGAAAAAGCTCTACGTACTTTTAAAGCTGGCGCGTTGGCCAATCTCATGGTAGAGTTAAAGTTAGATACTTTAGTTCCGTATTTTAATTTAATACGGAACTAAAGTATCTAACTTTAACTCTATTATATATCTAGTCCGTATCGACCAATAGTTATACTCTCAATCTGACGGTGTGTGAATCATCGATATAGCCCTTCAGCCAAAAAACTAGATAGGGTTACAAAATGAGACATACCCAGTTGACAGCCATTGGTTCGGACGTCCGTGGCAGACCACTGTTTACCTCTGAAATGAATTGAAAACCTTTTCTAAATCAGATTTCAATGCTGATTCAGAAAAATATAGTTCGAAGCTTCCATCTTGCAATCCAAGCTCAAAAGGTCAATTTCATCATAGAGGACGATTTTGAGTATTTTGGAGGTCCACTCAGTAATTTGAGTTTTTCTCCATGAAGAAATGGTTTTTGGAGGCTTGGAAGGTGTTATTCGCAATCACCTCGTTAAGCTGAATCTGAATGTGTATAGTAATGCCAAAAAGAATTCCAGTTCAGGTTTGCATTACGTGCATCTTAATTAAATGTTTATATAGTTAGGGTGACTCATTTTGTGAACCATTCTACTTTGGTGTGTTAGGGGCTGAAGCCGTCATTTGCATCTCAGCAGGTTCGCTGAAGTCCAGCTTGTGACTTTTTTAAATTTTGTATTGTTGCTGAGAAAATTCGTCCGTTTTTNTCAGCAGGTTCGCTGAAGTCCAGCTTGTGACTTTTTTAAATTTTGTATTGTTGCTGAGAAAATTCGTCCGTTTTTAAATAAGGGCGAAAAAGTCTGAATTCTACTCATAATTCTCAATGTTCTCGATATATTATGTTGGGAATCAGGATCAAAAACCCAATCAGCTGATGTGTATTTTGAAATTTTTAGTTGATTTTCGGTTTTTGGTGAAAATCTCGATGTTCGGTAGAAACTTTACGCAACAACGGGAAACGAAGAATACTAATAACAAACTGTCCTCTACCTTTTGGTCTTGCTCTATATATTATAACACTCTTATCAGTGGCACTATTATTTAAATTATGAGTGTTTTTTCCAAGGGAGAAACAATCTCGTGAAGAGAATGAGAAAGAAGAATGAGGGTCACTTTAAGTGTATGCACCTCCGAGTTAAGTGTCACTTAAGTGTAACTTAAAGTGGTTAAATGTCATTTCAAATTCCGCATCTTTCTGACTATTCAGCTTGTATTGCAAGATGGAAGGTTCGAACTATATTTTTCTGAATCAGCATTGAAAACTGATTTAGAAAAGGTTTTCAATTCATTTCAGAGGTAGCCTCGAGTCAGGAATATTCTTAGATGGTGTTAACAT